GTAAATTCTAATCCTTGTTACAAGTATGGTAGAACCATCACTTCTACCACAAAAGACTGATTTGTAAGTAATCTTCCTGATTTATCCCAATTCCTTAGCATATCCCAAACCTCAGAAAAACGTTTATGAACTACTTTATTTTCAAGATCAATGCTTTTAGAGATAAAATTGTAACCATGCAGCCGTCAGCTATAGTATCGCATCAGGTAGCTTGCTATAGATCGCCTGAGGAACAATTCCACTCATTCTCTACTATAGGAGAGGAAGAATTGTATAAACTTGTTAAATCATCTAAACCAACAACATGTATTTTAGACCCTATTCCATCTAAGCTCCTAAAAGAGGAAGAGGTGCTTCCAGAAGTCATAGATCCTCTTCTGACTATTATTAATTCATCATTGTCATTAGGATATGTCCCAAAACTTTCAAACTGGCTTATTAAGGTATTAAGGTTATTAAGCCTCTCATCAAAAAACCACAACTTGACCCCAAAGAACTAGTTAATTACAGACCGATCTCGAATCTCCCTTTTCTGTCCAAGATACTAGAAAAGGTAGTATCCTCACAATTATATTCCTTCTTAGAGAAAAATGGTATCTGTGAGGATTTCCAGTCAGGATTTAGACCGTATCATAGTACTGAGACTGCTCTCATTAGAGTTACAAATGACCTGCTCTTATCATCTGATCGTGGTTGTATCTCTCTATTAGTGCTACTGGATCTTAGCGCTGCGCTTGATACTATCGATCACAACACTCTTTTAAGTAGACTACAACATTATGTTGGCATTAGTGGAATTGCATTAGCATGGTTCAAATCATACTTATCTGACGTCATCCATTCGTAGCAGTGAATGAAGAGGTATCATATTGATCACAAGTACAGTATGGAGTACCTCAAGGCTCAGTACTAGGACCACTGCTTTTCACGCTTTACATGTTAACCTTGGGAGATATCATCAGGAAACATCAGAAAACACCCTTCATTACCACAGACCCTTTGGCTCCTGGCCAAAAAAGAGTTTACTTATTTCTGACGTGTGTGCCTGCCCTGCTTTTTGAGCATTTTCTCCCTCTTTAAATAAATAAATAATCTCATGCCAGTGCGACCACACTGTGGTAAGCAACTATCAGTCTATGATACAACTGAGTCTACAGGTAAATATAGATCTTTGCAACATTGCTCAGTTAAGAGGATAAAACCAAATTAGAAGGTTATTACTGATCTCAATTGCCCCATCAAACAAAGATGGTGAAAAAGTTAATGTGTCACAAAATAAATCACTCTCATTTGACTTGTATTTGACGGCATGAGCTCGTGGTGGGGAATATAACCAAACTGCATATCTTCACTGTATGAATGAAACATTCATACATTGATACTTAATAAAGCTACAAAATTTAGTCAGTCAAGATCAGTGAGTGATTTTCTCTTTTTCTGTTGTTGTTTGATTAACATTATTGATACAGGCAGCAGCAGGAATATAAGTCTGCTGTCACTTTAAGAGCTGCATGGATCTATAGATACACACACGTTTTCTTTCTCAGCTGTTCACAATTTACTTAAGTTATAAGCCAAGACATTTTAACATAACTGTGTGTGTATTTGACTGTTGAAATACTAAATACTACTACAATTACGAGATCTGAAATCACGATTCTATTGCTGTCTGAGAGAGGCGGCTTTCTGTGTGTGCACACTGTACTTTTATTGAGTTTTTTTTCCAAGTTTTATTGCGCTTAATATCTCTTTTTAACATCAAACACATC